TGGTGTATTAGTAAAAAGAATATAAAAATTCTCCTTCCCTTCCTTCTAACCAAACAAAAAAAAAATATCATTTTATTCATCCTTTCTACTATTCAGTCCATTCAACTAAACAAGAAATAAAAACCACACATTTCCTTCCTTAAAGATACCTCCTCCATCCCTTCCATATCTCCTCCATCCATTACCCTCCAACCAAAGCATAAGTTTGTGTTGCCGGACATTCCATAGGGGAAGGTAGTTTATGGATGAAGGTAGTTTATGGATGGATTTGCTTAAAGAACTCAAATTGGAATCTTTTTTTTTTTTTTTTAATTAAAGATAAAGGGTTTTATTTCCATGTTTGTCGTGTTAATCAAGTAGTCCAACTTACTAAAATTAAGCCACGTGTGCCTTCTCTTGATAGTTTGTATCACACATAATCCTTTTTTTGTTGACCTTATTCTTTATGGCATGTTTCACCTTCTAATTGGTTCGTGACTTGAGGATTCATTCTTCTTCATGGATTCCGTTGTAGGTGATCCATCTAATCTCTTCATGGCCACGCATACCACTCTTGACGGCCACTAGTATAATAATATGCCACGTGTAACTTTTTGGTTGGCTGGTGGAAGTTAAAATTTAAGTTGTAAAAAAAATCATTTATTAATTATTTTAAGAGTTAAATGCTCTAACACCCTTTTCTTTAATTGAGCCTTAAAAAAGTCAAAATTCAACTAATTATAAAAAATATAATGTCGAAACTACTCTTGACTAGTGGAGATGAAATGTATGAGGTTATAAATAAGTGTGGGACCAACTAGGCCATAAATGACGTGCACATTAACTTTTTGGTTTCATTTTTCATTGAGTTAAATGTTTAATTGAGGCATATGATTGGTAAAACTAATTATATGCTTCGTACTAACTAATGATTTAGTGTTTCAACCAATCAATTCAATACATAAAATGAAGGAAAGAAGAGGAAAAAGACAAAAATAAATAAATAATGAACATTATAAAAAATATATTAAGTAATCACATTATAGTTGATTTATATTGTAGGCTAATCAATTAAATTGTATATGACTCAAAATCAATTTCATAATAATTTAATTGGATTGATTTATATATATATTCATAATATTAATCAATTTCATTGGATTGATTTAAAGAAGAAATCAAGAACAAAACCAGATTGGGAACACTAGATGTTGTTTTTCGGATTTTTTCATAAAATGCTCAATCATGGTTGTATTCCAAATTCTTACACATATGGTACATGTACTTTTTGATTCATGACTTAAGCCTATATTAAAGCTATATTAAAATGTTATATCTAAGTTAATTTAGGTTGATTTGTGATTAAATTAAAAAAGGGTAGTTTCGACAATATAATTTTTTAATTAGTTAATGGGCAAGCTACAAAAAAAACCCCTTCACTATCACCTACTTGCAAAAACACTCCATTTATAAATATGTTTAAGTAAGAAACCCCTCAACTATAATGTGGCGGCATTTTCACTGACATCCATCTCCATCAAATTTTTTGAACCAAATTACCCTCTTCGTCAACTGTTCATCCCAAATCGCCGCAGCCCACCCCTTCTCTCTCTACTCTCTGTAAAACTCACTCCAAACAGGAAAGAGTGTTTGGAAAGAGAAGATCAATTTTTTATTTTTTATTTATCAATGGCAGGAACTGTTTGTCGTCATCTTCAGCCTCGATCGGGTCATGATTCATAGTTTGAGTAACAACGGTGAGGCTAAGACCCGACATCGTGCTTCAGTCCATCGATGCTTTTAGCGTCGCCGGAGTTCAAAACTGCTACAGCCAGTTCAACATCCTCCTACGAACCCTTGACGAAACCCAGTTCAAATCGCTGTAGCTGGAACGGCCGAGAATTTTTCTACAACCCGTTGGGGTTGCCGGAACAAATGGGTCTTACTGTATAGCACGTTGACGAAGCTTCGGGCTTTCGCCGGTGTTGCCGATGATGGGGTTTCTGGAATTCCTCATTGATTGGCTGTACAAATCATACCTTCCCTCTATTGATTATTCCCTTCGAAACCCATAAATCAAATCAGTTAAAAATGCCATGTGTTGGGTCAAATTCAAATATAAATATATATATATATATATATATATATGTATATATATATATGTATGTATTTATATGTATATGTATATGTATATGTATATGTAGAGAGAGATCTACCTTTGGTTGGACTGAAAAGCGTCAAATGTTCAGCTGTCCTTGATGAATACTGAAATGGGTATCTGCAAGATATGAAGTTGGAATCTTAGTATGATGAAACAAAGGGTTTTGAGATGGATTGAAGAGAGTACACAAAACTCTTACATACGTATATGAAATTGTTTGGAAGAGCTTCCACAAAGAAGATGTTGGTGGCGCGCGTGTACTGACGAGAGGGTAGTTTTGTCCAGAAAATTGTTTCAATACATCACTGAAACGAGGTTAGGTTAAAATGCCCCCCTCAATATAGTTGAGTGGGGGGTTTTCTAGCTAAACATATAGTTGGGTGGGATGTTTTTTAGTTGAGTGGGGGTTTTCTAGCTAAACATATAGTTGGGTGGGATGTTTTTTTTTGTAAGTGAGTAATAGTCAAATGAAGTTTTTTGTAATTCATCCTTAATTAATTTATGACTTTTTTAACGATCAACTAACAGAAGGAAAGGGGTGTCAGGGCAAAGTATTGATATGCAAACTAGTATTGATATGCAAACTAATTTTAAATATATAAAAAGGCGTTTTAGTCTTTGAATCAGGGCCAGAATTTGAAATATTTATTTGGAGGGACCAAACTAGTATTGATATGCAAGAAGTATGTATACAGATAGGAATGAAGTATTGATACATATGAACAATGAACAAATTCTTTTCATTATATTTGAATTTTTTAGGTAAGATTAAAAAATTCAATTGACTTTGAAGCGGTCACATGCAATCTGTTATTTGCAAATATATTGTTAATAACCATTAATAGACAGGGGTTTTGACAAATAAATAAAATAATAATAATTTAAGGGTGGCCAAGAGACTGTTTGTACGAACTTTCCATCAATAGCATCTATTAAAGTAGGGTTTGAGAAAGAAATTTGGACAATGTCTCCCTTTAACTCGGTGCTATTTTGGATTGAACGACTCTTACATTGAGGTCCACTCCCTTATGTGTGAAAGTGACAATAGGTTTAAAAAAAAAAAAATTTTAAGGAAAAAATAAACTTGTTGGCCACAAGATTTCAACTAAAGGTTGATTGACTATTTCTGTTAATAACAACCTATTATGTGAAGAAATTGACAATCTACTTGAGTGTTGTTTCTCACAGATTTATCATATAAACTCAAGTATTCAAAGGCTCGCGTAGACCTTGGATCTCGATGACAATGGAGCACAAAGATTCAAGGCAATGATAGTGTAGTAGGCATGTGTTATGACTTCACTGTAAAGTGAGTTGATTAAGATTGGGTTGTGCAATCTCATCTGAAAATCAATTATGTAAAGTGAGTTGACTAAGATCGGGTTGTGCCATCTCATCTGAAAATCAATTAGTGTTCAGTGTGATGGGCCATGCCTTTTTATGGCATCAACATCCAAGGTCTACCCATGCAAGGATAAGGTTGGATTGTTATATGTTACGGTGTGCCTCAAATCAATTTCTTTTTCCGTTTGGGATGCTTCTATTTCAGAGTTGTGATTGATATGGTAACGTTGCAAGTTATGGAATTCGCAGAATTTGTATCTAACAAGGATTCGGTAATTAAAGACACTATAAATAAAGGTGAGGTTGAGAGAATATTATAGAGAGAAGAAAAGTGTACGTGAACAGCGAGGGAAAGAGAATTGTAAGAGTGAGATTGTGAGTGTGTAATTTTGGTATTGGAATAGAGACGGTTGTTTTTTTGCCCATGGACCTAAGTAATTTGTCGTGCCACGTAAATCTTGTTTGTTTATATCTGCGTTGTCAAATGTCTTTATTGCTATTATTGATTCAGATTTTGGGATATATAATCTTAAAAACTGGTATTAGAGCCATGACAACAACTATTATAGATGTAAAGTCATACTCAAAAAGTTAAATAAAAGAAGGACTTTTAGCCAACGGTAAGTTCGAACGTGGGATGTACTAATTCAGCATGGTTTGGAAGAGGCATTGGGTAACAAACTAGAGGAGATGAATGGTGCAAAGTGGGAGAAAATCAATTCAAGGACGATGAGTGTTATTTGATTGGCAGATGATGGTGAAGAAGCTTCAGTTGTAGACATGTGGAAGAAGTTGGAGGGTTTTTACATGGGAAAGAATCTCACCAGCTAACTAGTCCTGAAACAAAAGTTGTACTCCTTTCTCAGAAAGGAACGTGTAACCTTGCAAGAACATCTTGGTGAGTTGATAAGATTGTTCGTCACTTATCTAATGTCAATGCTAATTTTTTTTTTTCCCTAAATAATGTCAATGCTAAATTAAGTAATGACGAAAAAGTTATTATCTTGTTGACATCGTTGTGTTCTACTCATAAGTATTTATTCAATACTTTGCTATATAGGAGAGATATAATCACAATGGAACAAGTTGAAAGCGTTTTATTCTTCAATATATGAAAAGTTGAACGGTAATGATCAACATGATGAGTCTCAAATTCTTATTGCATAAGAGAAAGAAAAAAAAAAATGAGCTCCAAGGAATTTTGTGCCTCCTCCAATGCCAGATAGAAGGTGTCATCGTTGTGGAGAAAATGGGCAACTTCAATGATGGTATCCAAAAGGAAAAGAGAATACATATGTTCCCATTGTTATGTCTGGAGATATGAGTGTGGAAAGTGATGTTGATAAATTCCTTTCAATTGTTGATATTAAAAGCAAGGTTGTTAAAATCGGAATTCTACGCAGAATCGTTTTGGATTCCGTAGAATCGGATTGTAAATCGTAAGATTCTACCAAATTGTGAAAAAACAATTAAAACTAACTTTTTAAACAATAAGATTTGTAAAATATAATCAAAATAAGGCCAAAACACACAATATTACATATCCATGAGTCCATAAATCTCAAATCCTAACAATATTCCAAAGTCCGAATATAAATAAAAGAGAATGTAGCTCAAAATAACATACAGTTCTAACTCATCCATCTCTAAAGTTAGAAACTAAAATTACATATCCATAAAGTCATCATTGAACTCTTCATCATCACCATCTTCCTCATTAGCATCATCAACGGGATTTAATGGCTCCATGTCTTCATTATCATCAATTGCATAAATTTCCTCAACTATAAAGCATAAAGAAAGAAAGAAAATTAATATAATTTAATAATTTATACAATATTATAATAAAAGTTTAAAGTTTAAGTTCTTACGTGTCCTAGTCATCCTTTTTACTTCATTTTCTTCATCGGTATCATCTTCTTGAACTTTGTCATCAAGAACCCTCAACCATTTAGTTTTTGTTGGAAGAATCGGATCCTCTTTTTCGATAATCCATTCATCATCGAAAGAAACATCGGAAGAAACAAATTGGTTCTACGACAGCTTGTCTTTTCACGTGCCTCTCCCTCAATTTTATGTTATACATAACAAATACCAAATCATTCAGTTTTTTTTGTTGCAACCGGTTTTTCCTTTTTGAATGCACCTAAATATATTGCCAATGAGGTTAAAACTTAAAATTAAACTGTGACATTATTAAAATTTTGGAACTATGCATTATTCGATAATTTACCATCTCAAAGGCACTCCAGTTCCTTTCACATCCCGAAGAGCTACATGTTAAACTCAATATTCTAATTGCAAACCGCTTTAACTCGGGGCACTCATCACCAAATGAATTCTAATTGCAAACCGCTTTAACTTAGGGCACTCAACCACAGACCACTTGTAATGTTTACAGGACATCCTTTTTTTTTCTTACTACTATTTAATTAAATAGCTAAATTCAAATTCCCTGGTAAGCTATTCCAGTTCTTCTTCCATATACTTAGTACCAAATAGTTATGAAATGATTTTATCGAATTTAATTTATTATTCCCACATGTTATATAAACCTAATATTATGTATAGTTGAATAGTTCCAATTTTTTATGTGGGTTACAATCTTTCTTTGTGTGTATTATTTATTCATATATCAGTCTTTCTTTGTAACCGTGAGTGAGAATTCATGTGGGTTTGTGCAAGTGAAAGATAATGGAATTTGAGTAGGAAAAAAAAAAAAATGAAAAGAGAGAGGGAGAGAGAGTTCAGAGTCTTATAAAGATGTGATTTTATTTGTAGCAGGAGAGATGGCAACAACTTTTGGATGTCCTTTTACATTATCACAGTGGAAGGAACTCAAGACACAATCAATGATTTACAAATATATAATGGCCTCTGTATTTGAATGAAATATGTTACTATTTAATGTTTACAGGACAACCTTTCTGGTGTAGCTATTAAATTACTTATTGCTACTAGTTTCAATTCAAATTTGGTTCTGTAATTTTAAGAACAATATCAGATAGATCAAAATATTATTTGGCTTCAAAATTTGTAAAAATTAATGCAGTGTTTGTGATTCCGCTGGCTAAAATTTCATGAAATTAAAGGGTGTCAAGGCTGATAAGATTTTCTGGATGAAGATTTGGAGAAGAATTAGAGAATAGCAATCAGTAATCACCCACTCATTGTATCCATGATTCCATACTAAAAAAAAAGAGGGAGAAAAATAATTCTTAGTATAGAACATACCTGACCGAGCCGCCGAACCTGTTTCTGTATGGAATGGATCCGATCTGCTCTATAGAGGCCTCTGCACTGCCGCCTCCTCTCAGTCTCACTCCTCACTCTTGAGTCTTGACTTCCCGTTTCTAAGTCTATAATAGAATAGGGTTTTCTGTTTTGGTTTTGTTACTTTATATTTTATAATTTATAAAATAAATAATAAAATATATAATTTGGTAAGTTTTGGGCCAGACCTGCCCAAACAACTAATACAATTAAGGCCCAAAGACCAAATATTATAAAGGCCCGCCCAAAAGCCCCAAGCACCCATTTTTGGTAGAATCGGTAGAATCGTATAGAATCGTACGATTCTACGATTCTACCAATGATTCTACCGATTCTACCCCCGATTCTACCAATTGAGCGATTCTGCTACGATTTGAGTCGATTTTGAGTTCTGAGTCGTAGAATCGTGCGATTCTACGACTTAGAATCGCGATTTTGATAACTATGATTAAAAGAGATGCTAAGAAGTGGATACTTAATTCTGCTTGTCCTTTCATATATGTCCTCATAAAGAGTGGTTTACCTCCTACAAACCTATAGTTGGTAAGCTTTTCATATGGAATAATTCTTCTTATGATGTTACAATACTAATTTAAAAACTCAAAATCAGGACAATGAATTGATTGGTAAGGACCTTAACGAATGCATGTTATGTTCCAAGTGTTCAAAGGAATTTGATTTCTGTAAGGATTTTGAATTCAAAAGGTTGTTGGTGTGAAGTAAATGATGGGTTGATGAATATCTATGTTGTATTAGGAAGTACTCTTTTAGGTGGATCACTTACAAAGACAGAAAGGAAACCTGTTTCTATATCTACTGGAGTAATGGATGATCGAGAGCGGCGAAGGAATGAATAATTCTTAGCAATTGCAACAGCACCAACCTTCATCTCAAAAGCAAGGAAATTTCAATTTAGTGATGTGAAAGTATATTCCAAGTTCGACTATTTGAATTTGGACTTTGCTCGTGATAGGTGAATGTGTTGGAATGGTGAAGAATGACGAGAAGAAAGAAGATATTTGGTTTAAGGTAAAGGAATCTTTTCTTAATATGGAGCTACAGAAGAGTGCGTGAATATGGAATTTGAGTCAAGGTGGAGATTGTTATGGTGCGCCTCAAATCAATTTCCTTTGTCTTTTAGGATACTTCTATTTAAAAGTTGTGATTAATATGGTAACTCATTATAGGCAAGTTGTGAAATTCTTGTCCAACAAGAATTAAAGACTCTATAAATGAAGGTGAGGTTGAAAGAATATTATAGAGAGAAGAAAAGTATGAAGAGAGAAAGAGAATTGTAATAGTGAGATTTTAAGCGTGTAATTTTGGTATTGAAATAAAGATAGTCGTTCTTCGCCCATCTGTGTGCTTTTATATGTTTTTATTGGTATTATTGAGTCAAATTTTGTGATAGTTCCTAACACTATATTCTCCAACCAATCCCTCCGTCACGCGATAGCATTCATGCGTTTTGAACCCATGACCTCTAGCTCTAAAACAAGTTGACCAAAATCGGCTCGTGACAACTCATATGAGAATCAATTGGTGTTTATTGAGGGTAGGTTATGCCTTTTTTAGCATTTGACATCCGAGGCCCACACATGCAAAGAGAGGCATTGTTGTAGTCCCCAACAACACTGACCTCCTGTGTGGTTTATCACACATACCTCCCATGTATTACTCCTAATTACAATGACCTCCCTGTCAGAGTTGTTTGACGAATGGTTTTAACTAAAAGAGTGAAACTACACTTATGCCTCTATTATATTTTACATGTATACCCTCTATGTTTGTCCAAACCCTAACCCTGATTTCTCTTCAAACGCATTGAGCCCCAGTAATTCGTCGAGCCCTTTTTAAGTTTGCCACCTTAGGTTCGTCGGTGACTCCGTCGCCAAAGCTTTTATGGGTTCCATTTTTTGTTATGTGTCTCTCTCCATCTCTCACTAACGTTTACTTACCTGCTTCGTCAATGTGTTTAACATTTTCTATAAATTTTATGAGCTTTTATGGACTCCATTAATGTGTTTAGAGGGAAGAGTTTAATCCAAAATAAGTTTCAATCAATAGGGGTCATTTGTAAGAAGGGAATGACAATATTTGGCTTTTATGTTACGTTCACATGGTTAAATTCATTTATGGGGAAAAATTCTCTGATTTTAAGGGGCAAAACAATTGTGTCTAATTTTTATAGATGAATAAGTAAGTTTAAAGTAGTGTTGTTGGATTTCACCAAAAGATTAAGAGTTGAATTGTGCATCATGTTTATGTTATCAATATACAAATTTCAGTATAAATCGGGCTAACATAGGAGTAGGTATTAGGTGAGTTGGGCATACTGTCTCCACCCAAGTCCCACTTAAATTAAAAAAACTTTTATCAAGTAACTTGAATAGTGTATTTTGATTAGGCAGGTATATTAATGAGGTGGTGTGCCCGACTCAAAGGTGATTTGTGTAATTAGATTACATCTTAGGGTGGTTAGTGTAATTTTTTCAAAAAAAAAAGTAATAATGATACTCTTCCCATTTCATTTTTATACTTCTTTTAAAATACTTGTTCAATTTTAAAATATGAAAACTTTAAATGAAATAAATTAATGCATTTTTTTTCTCATAAAAATCTTTTAGTTTTAAAACTTCGTGCAGAGATTTTGGATTTTGTATTACTGTGGAACTGAAATAGATTCCAGCAACAGTCCAATCGTGGGCTCTGACATATGAAGCATCAAGTAGCTGTAATACATGATGATAACGTTATAGATATACCTATATGTATATATTTGTATAAATAGATAGGTATTCAAGACTTCAAGTACAACCACCACAAAGAAGCATATATTAGATGGATCTTCGGGAATTGCTCCTTGGAATGAATATTGATGCACTGCGAGTCCTCTGCCACTGCCTGCAACCCCACCACCTTAGTTGGGGGTCAGGGTCGCAGTCGCCGGTTAATATATGATGGAGGTTATTTAATTATGGATATGAGTTACATATATGGATATGAGTATAGATGCAATTATATGATAAATATAAAAATATTCAAATTTTAAAATACTAGGTGTCTTATTCCACACTTTTAGTCAAGTGTCTCATTCGTGTCTGGTATCGTCACGATACATGCAAGAGAAATGTTGTGCCTCTTAATTTTTGACACTTGTAATATATATAGTATGAGTCTTAACTGTGGATACGAATACATATAAAAATATTTAAATTTTAAAATACTTCTAATCATGCGTCTCATTCATGCTTTATGTTACTGTCAAGCGACACACACAATAGAAATGTTGTGCTTCTTAATTTTTGACAGTTGTAATATATATAAAAATATATATTTAAATTTTTAAAAACATCTAATCTGGTCTCATTCGGTACTTCCTAGTCAGGTGTCTTATTGGTATTTCATGTCCGATATCACCACAAGACATGCACATAAGGGAGAAATGTGGTGCTTCCTAATTTTTAACAGTAGTGATACAACTGTTAGTATAAATACATATACAAATATATATAATGCATGCATTTATATAATATATAAATATAAAATATTCAAATTTTAAAACACTTCTAATCATGTGTCTCAATGGATACTTCTAATCGTGTCTTATTTATGTTTCATGTCAATACTATCACGAGACACGCGTAAGAGAAATATTATACTTTCTAAATTTTAATGGTGGTGATATAATATGAGACTCTTTGGATAGGAGGCATTGTAAGGGAAAAGAAGACGAAGAAGAAGAAGAAGATTATTTCATGTTTAAAAAAAAAGATAAGATGAAATGAAAATAGTTATCCATTTATGTCTCTATTATCTTTTATATTAAGTGAAATCCAATTATGTCATTTTCACTTTCATATGGAAAACTTTTTCTTCCTGTTTCGGTTAAGTGAATGGAATGAAAATTAATCTTTTGGTGTGCATTTAGTTAGCATATATGAAAACTTTTAAAGATCAAATTTGTGAAAATACCATTTAATAGTTTGGATATATAACACGAAATTAGCGATAAGAAAATACCATGATTTACTTAAATTGTCCTTATTTTTATTAAAGAGGATAATGAATCTAAATGAATTTATATCAAATAAATATTGTTTGTATTTTGTAAATATAAAGGCAATATAAGAATCTTTATATAAAATTT